GGCCGCCGCCTCGCTGTAAGGCGCCTCGGCTATAGCGCGGGGCGGGGGGATTTTGGGCTGGGGCTGCTGGAACAGCGCATCTGGTGCTTTCATCCCCGCCCTGGGTGCTGCTCAGGGCTTCCAGCCCGTCGCGCCTCCGGCTCTGATGGGAGGGGACCTTCCCGGGAGGTGGGTTTGGGGTGCGGGTGCGCACCAGGGTACCCAGCCCCACGCCCTGGCGCTCAGCCCAGCACCGATCTGCTGCGGTTTCGCTGTGCCTCTGAGCCTGTGGGCACCCCTTCTCCTGCCACTGAAAGGATGCTAAAGGGTTAACTTTAGGACCTTTGTGAAGCCAACTGTAGATCCATCTTAAATTGCTAGCGTTGTGGTTCAGGTTAATTTACTAACCACATGAAGTAAACTATAGATAAGAAACTAACACTGTAGGGAATGTGGAAGAGGAGAGATTAGTAGCAAATGGCCCATCTTTGTTACAGGCCTTGGAAGGCCTGTAGGAGAACAAAGCGTCTGGCACTTTGTGGATATGAGGATGACCAAGGATGGGGAGCCGGTTGGTACCAGCTGTGTTGTTCTGACAGTGGAATAAGGGGGGTAGAAGCTGGAGTTCACCAAAAGGACAAGGTGAAGAAGAGGAGTGGATGAAGTAAACGACCCCTGAAGACCACCAACTCAAATCACTGAGCATGCGCAGTCGGGAGGGGCTTATGGAAATGACCTCTTGAAACTAATTTTAATACGACGCGGGGACAGGTTATGCCTATGTATAGGCATATTGGGAAACTTCATGTATATGTAACACTTTCCTCCATATAAACAGGGCAAGCTGCCGTGTTGCGGTGCGCACGACTTTGGTGGGACTACCCCCCGTGCTGCCCAGCGCTGAATAAACATACTTACTTTAAAATCTTACAGATTGTGGAGTCTGTGTCCGTACGTCACCAGGGACCCTCGGGCTCCTCCCTGTGGAGTGGGCTGAGGCACCGCAGCGTGGGGTTTGAATCCTCCAGGCTCTCCTGTGCTGCTCCCCAGGGTCGCGGGGCGGGGGGCAGCTCGGGCCAGGGCATGGGTGCAGACGGGGTTTCAGACCAGCCCCTTGTTGCTTCGTTCTCAAGCCTCACAAAAGCAACGGCCAAGGTGGTCAGAAGCAGAGAAAGGCCACGGCCGCTGGCTTGTCCCCGCACCTGCAACACTGCCGGAGAGGCCGTGCACCCTAGGGCAGACTGTGACTTGTTGTGGTGGGATGAGCCATACAACAACAAAATCACTAGTCTTCCAGAGGGAGCCAGGCACTGTGTCCATCCTCGTCCCACGGGGCCCCGCGCTGAGCGCCCCTTCTCCCCGCCACCAAGGGGGCTTGTGGGCCCACAGGACAAGTGTTTTCATGCTTCATCGTTCCCCTGTTTTGCCTGGTCAGAAAGAAAAGATTTAGATCACCCTGTGATTTATTTTTTCCTATTTCTTTTATGGTTTTTTTTTTTTTTTTTCTGGCTAGTAAACCTCTTCCTTAAATCTGTTACTCTGTGTTTGCATCTATTGCTTCCATCCCTGCTGTTCAGCTAATTAATTCCCCCTAATAAGAGTAGTTCAGACGTCCCACAGTAACTTGCTAGGGAGCCCTGGCAGGTCTCTACGTAGAAATCTGTACACTTTTCTGGTGGTCTTGGTGAAACTGTGCATTATAGCTCTTTGGGGATGGTTTATTTGGGGTTCCTGGGCCTCTTTGCCCTGTTTTTCTCCCCCTAAGTGAGCTGTGAGCTGGCCATCACCGCACGAGCAGGAGCAAACTTGAACCCTGGTGTGAGCAAAATGGGCTTGTGTTGCTGGTGGCATTTCTGTGCCAGCTCCTGGCGGGCAAGGAGGTGGCATCACTGGCTGCTCTTCTCCATCACATCCTGCGCTGAGGCAGGAGATTCAAGCACCTTGATCGTTCGGTGCTGTTTGGTTGATAGCTTCTCCCTGGACACATTGCTGTTGGACTCGTGGGTTTGATCAGTCTTGGCTTGTCCACAACAAACCCATCCATCTCCCCTCATCTTTGCTCAGTGACTCCTTCCTCTGCAGGCTGTGTGTTTTGCAAGAGGCATGCTGTTTTCTTTGGCAGTGCAAAGTTTTAGCTGTACCCTCGTGGTTACAAAGAAATCACGACAGGAGAAACTATGGGCATATGGGGAGGAAGGGAAAAGCTTTTTTCCAGTTTCCCAAGGCCACCATAGCCCAGGCTGCAAGGGAACAGTGGTGTAATTTTTCTCCCCTACCCCAGATGCAAGGATGGAGGTGGAAAAAAGTCAAAATAGCTTTGAATGGATCCATCAGTATACCGTGTCCTCCTCTGGTTCCACTGACCTCTGGGCCATCAGTAGATCAAGTAGAAGCCTTGTGCTGAACAGGGATGCCACTTGTCTCCACAAGGTCCCGCAGCCTGGCAGGGATGGAGGGTTTGGCACCAGATGGTAGAAATCCCGTTTCCGATGTGGCAGATGAGCCGAGAGCTGAGATGAAGGCAGAGCACACCAGAGCCCGGGAGAGGTTTCTGCGGTGTTTGCACAATTTGAAATAATAACGAAATCTGTAAAACTCTGGGTAGAGCATGACTAGAATAACAGGCTAAATTTGCTGGATGAATAATTTACTAGAAGTGATTGGCCCTGCTCCAAGTGAGAGAAGCGCGAGCCTGATCTCAGGCTGAGCAGCCTGGGTGGCTCTGTCCTTGGCTGGGAGCTGGTCCTGCTCCTGCCACCTGGTCATTGCTCCTGCAATAGAAGCTGGCCTCCAGCCGAGGCGCCTGTCCCCAGGTCATCGCTGACCAGACCTACAGGGCTTCCTGCAGAGCTCCTGGTCCCCTCAAGAAGGTGTCTGCAGCTTGTTTTCAAGGCGCTGCTTTGCAGAGCGGAGGTGGTGGCAGTGTGTGTCTGTCACCGGCTCCAGGCTCGTGCACTCAC